GGGAGGGTTACAGAGCAGGGAGGGGAGGAGCCTGGGTTAGGGTTGGACATGGCGAATGGGGAATGAAACTAAATATACGTGTTATGTTGAATGTAAAACAAGCTCTTAAAATATAAAGATAAAATAAAAGAGCTCTTTGGAGTGTTACAGAGCAAAGAAATCACTATGAAGACTAAAGTGCCCCTGACCCAAGTTACGGTATTTTTAATCGCCTCAGATGTATGTGAAAGCTGGACAATGAATAAGGGAGACCACAGAAGAATTGATGCCTTTGAACTGTCCTGTTGGCGAAGAATACTGAAAATACAATGGACTGCTGGAAGGAAGAACAAACCCATTTTGGAAAATGTACAGTCAGATTGCTTCTTGGTAGCAAAAATGGCTCGATTTCAGCTCATTTTGGTCGTGTTGTTAGAAGGGTATCATGCTTGGTAAAATAGAAGGTCAGTGAAAAAGGTGAAGACCCTCAACCAGATAGACTGGCTCAGTGGCTGCTATGATAGGTACAAACATAGCAAAGATTATAAGGATGGTGCAGGATCAGGCAGTGTTTTATTCTGTTGTACACAGGGTCACCATGAGTGGGAGCCAACTTGATGGCACCTAACAATAACAACAACAACCAAGTGATATTAAAGATTTGGCCCATGTGAGCAGAACAGAATTTAAAATTCTCTTGGACTCTGGAGTTCCTGGAGCCATGAAGGTTAGATGAACCCCTGAAGTTACTGTCCTGAGAAAATCTTTAAACCTTAAACCAAACCCCCTAAAGTCTTAACACCAAGTAACAGTTTAGTTTAACTGTTAAAAATGTCTGCCCTGAGTACTATGCTCTTTTAAGACTATTCATATGAGATCAAATCGACAACAGCAATTTGAGGAGATTAGATAGGAACCTTAGGGGGCAGTAAGTTTATGTGAGTGGGAGAGGAATGACTCAGAAAAGGAGGATGAGAACGGTTGGACAACTCAAAGAACGGCATCAATGTCACTGAATGCCACATGCAGAGACTGCTGAATTGCTGTATGTGTATACTCTGTATATTCTGAACAACAACAAATCTAATTAAATTAAAAGGGGGAAAAAAAAAAAAGAAAAAGATTTGGCCCACGTGAAGGATCACACACCAAGACTTTGAGTTAATGAATATACACAAAGAAAAAGGGAAGTAATGCAAACTGGAGGACTGGGGTTTGCATAACTTGTGTAGTTTATCCTAAATTTCCCTTAAATTACTTAACATAACCACCCAGCACAGCAACAGCCCACATTCAATACATATTTTTGGAATTGTTTTGGAAACATCCAAGAATATTCTGATCCCAGAATGAAAGTGATAAAATGCTAAATTAGAAGCATTCTGATGTGAGAAGGCAAGCCAGGGCACATGACGTTTATCCCCATGTGTATTTCCTTCTTCTAGTCCCTGATTGGAGCTCTGGTAACATAGTGCCTAAGGCACTTTACTGCTAACCAGAAGGCTGCCAGTTCAAATCCACCAGCCACTCCTCAGAAGGAAGATGGGGCAATCTATTTCTGTAGTGACACTGCTTCAGAAACCCTAGGAGGGGTCGCTATGAGTCGGTCTGACTTGATGGCAAATAATAACAGCAGTCCCTGATTCCAGGGGGGAAAGAAACAGTTGTCATCAAGTCAGTGCTGACTCATGGTGACCCCTGATGTGACAGAGTAGAACTGTGCTCCACAGGGTTTTCAACGGCTTTTCTTCCAAGGCACCTCTGGTTGGACTCAACCCTCCAACTTTTCAGTTGCAGTCAAGTGTTTAACCATTGAGCCACCCAAGTGTTTAACCATTCATGCCATATGAGGTATAGACTGATGGAATCAGATGAGCTCTTGAAGTTGGTTCTGCAGCAGCTGCTTTAGACAGAGTGTTGTTTAACCACCTTTAATTAATACGTGCATATTCTACAGAAAGACGTATGAAAACTGTTCTCTAAATCGTACCAGCAGGGCAAAGGCAGGTGAAATTACTGCCCTCTTGCTTTTCATTCGCATCAATACAGCTCGCGTTGTGCTGACAGGGTTTCTTCTGGCAAGCGTCGAATTCTTCGCAGAAAGTACCCACGTACTGGTCCTCACAGCTACAGGAAAAAGTTGCCTAAAACACAAACACACAGGGCATGTTACCTGCGTCCTTGGAAATCTTTGCTCTGACTGTGAGAACTCAAGAGTTCAAAAGCTGTACTTCATTGTTATAATTATACCAACATTGAGAATTTTAATCACTTATACCATCAGCCAGCCAGCATCATAGTTTTAACAAAAGTCTTCTGTGATTCTTTATGGTTCATTGTCAAGTATTTATGTTAGTAGTTCTTGATTCATATTTATCCTACCCTCTTTCAATCTCCATAAAATAGAAAAACAGAAAGAACACTTTCTTTTCAGCAAAACCTGGGGCTTCGCTGACCTGACAAGGAAATGGCAATTTTGCTAGAGCAGAGAGCTTTTGTGGCAGCCAGGAAGTTAGAAGAAACTCAACCAGAGTAAACCCATCAGCATAGGCAACACTCACAATAAGAACATCATCAAAGTACTATCAAACCATCCCTCCAAAGCACTGGGGGGATAAGTGAATCACCCTGGTCAGGGGCCTCAGTGTACAATGTATACCCTACCTGACCCCAAGGGAAAAATAAAAACTGTAACCACTTTGTTTGGGTTGTTATATTATCAATCAAAAAACCAAACCCACTGCCATCAAGTTGATTCCAACTCATAGCAACCCTGTAGGGCAGAGTGGAACTGCTCCATAGGGTTTCCAAGGCTATCAATCTTTATGGAAGCAGACCACTTCATCTTTCTCCCATGGAGTAGCTGGTGGATTCAAAGGGCTGACATTTTGGTTAGCAGCCCAATGCTTTAACCACAGTGCCACCAGAGCTCTGTTTTTTTCCTTTTAAATTACCATTATCTTTGTTAAAGACAATACCTCAGGCCCAGAGATTGAACTTGAGGTGAAGCTCTTGCAGTTATAAAAGCCCAATGATACTGGGCCTTCTTGCCCCCACTTGGCATTGGGCTGAGAACGGTGATGCATCTGAATGCAGCACAGGCCTGGCTCTAACGCCCACAGAAGGCAATGGAAGTCTTCATTGGAGATTTCCATAAAGAGGGTTGCAAAGGAGCATGGCATAAGCAAACCCTACTACTTAACCAAACAGTTGCCATCAAGTGGCTTCTGACTCATGGTGCCCCACTGTGTGTCAGGGTAGAACTACACCCCATCGGGCTTTCTATGGATGACTTTTCAGAAGTAGATCACCATGCCTTTCTTCCAAGGTGCCCCTGGGTGGACCCAAACCTCTAACTTTTTGGTTACCAGGGCTGGTATTTAAGGTTATATGTCAACTTGGCTGGGCCTGGTTTTGAGTGGTTGGACAGCTGCATGTCGTGATTCCCCATGATGAGATTGGTAATCACCTCCATGGTGGAATCTACTGTGGGCAGCTGAGTAGCTGCCTTAGGGATGTGGTCTGCTTCCACTATGTAAGAAGCTTTGAGAAAGGTCTCTGCAGCTTTTTGGAATGCTTGAACCCTGCATGAAGCCGAGTCTTGATTTAGCATCTGGCCATGTTGCCTGCTGATCTTAGGATTATTCCTGGACATTGGCCTGCCGTGTTGTTTCATAATTTTGGAACTGTGCCATTTGTCGACCTTGGGTTTGTCAGCCTCAGCAGTCAGCAGCTCTCTGAGTTAAAAGAAGCTTCCAGCTTCAGTGGACTGGGACCAAGAGGCAGAGCTGAAGCCCAAGGTTGAGGGATTTCACACAGCCCCCTAGAGCAGGCACAGTGAACTTGGACTTCTAGCCTCCTAAATTGGGAGAGAATAAATCCCTGTTTGTTGTATCCACCCATCTGTGGTATATTCTGTTCGAGCAGCACTAGAGGACCAAAACACTAAGCAAGCACATTTCAGAGTTTGCACCACCCAGGGACAACTCCTCCTTTAAAAAACCAAGACACAACAAGCACACAGAAACCTTTCCCAGCTGTCTCCCCAAGCCCCAGAAAATGGTAAAAGTTCAAAGGTCCATTGTTCAAAAACTGTCAACAGCTACTCCCGGCCCTCACCCCCCTTCCCTCCCTCTGCCCCAGCCTGATCTTAAGGAGAGTCTCTACCCTTCTTCTTCAGGTGCCCTCAACTCAGGATCTCCTGGTGGTGCGATGGCTTATCTATCATCTGCTAACTAAAACACTGGCAGCTCGAACCCACCCAGCAGCTCTGTGGGAGAAAGACATGGTGACCGGCTTCTGTAAAGATTACAGCCGAGAAGGCCTTATGGGGCATTTCTGTTCATAATGACGTGGGGTCATTATGAGTTGGAACTGACTCAAAAGTACCCAACTACAACAACATCCCAATGAGTATGACATGGGCACCTTCCTTCCTCCCAAAAGAGGATATTTCTTTGTCTGTCAGTGGAGTTTTAGAGTTCTTGTACATTTCTTGATAAATGTACATCTGATTATTTAGACGTTTTTGTAGCTCTTGTTAATGAGATGGTGTCTTCATTTACTTCTTATAACTCTCATATTTGCTAGCAATTACTGATGTGTAAAAATCTAGTATTTTGTAACCAGCTATCACACTGAATTCTATTACTTGTCAGACTTTTTTAGTTATTCTCTTGGGATTCCTAGATAAAACAAAACCAAAGAAAATGCATATAAATTACACATAAAGATAACATCACCTCCTCTTCTCCAATCTTCATAACTACATGGGTAACGCTTCCAGAATAGTTTTGACTTCAAGGAGATGCTGTAGAATTTACCATAAAGTAGAATGCTGGAATTATTGTTGAAAAAATTATTTTAGCCTCTATAAAAATTATCTTTTTTTCCCATCTTTTACCTATTAATATTAGAATTGAATGTTTAGATTTCCTAGTACAGACTCAACCTTAGGTTCCTGGAAGTACCACTTAGTTCATTATGCAATATCAATTTAATATGGTTGCCTTATATTTGTATTTATATTTCTGGCAACTTCCATCAAATCCCCTGCCTCCTCTACTCCCCATGACACACACACACTCCTTTTCTAAGAAAAACTGTCCCTTGCACAGTGAACTCATGTTTTACACCATAAGAAGATCCAGTAACATCCTGAACTGAGCCAGGAGTGAAACCCTTGACCTTAGACAACCAATCAAGAAGTCCAATGGCAAAATATGACATTTAACTGCACCAAAATGCCAGATTATATATAGGTGTGTCTCTTTTGTTAACTTTACATGGTATATATAAGTCTTTGCTATCTGAATAATCACGTTTTCTTTGGTTTAAGAAAAGACCTTACAAAACAGAACAAATGGATGACAGCAATGACTTTTCTTCTCAAGGTAGAGCTATACTGTCTTCTTTCTTGCCTTTCATCCCCTACACCTCCTTGTGATGAGGGAAAATTCTTTCCATATTCTAGTAAGAAGTTGACTTCTGCTCTGGTTTTCATAATGTTGTGAGGTTTTGTTTTGTTTTGTTTCCTTTTGAGCATGTGTGTGTATGTATGTGTATGTGCACATGCATAGGGTTTGTAGTGGGAAGCCAGGAGAAGCTGCATCAAGTTCTGTGAGAAAGATATCTTTTTTAATAAGAAACACTTTTTCTAGAACTGTCTTCTAAGGAGAGACTTGTCCTTGCTCAAATACAGAACAGAGTGCCCCTTTGATATCCACAGGGGACCTGTCTGGAGTTCTTTGTACACCCATAGATTTGTGACTGCCTTTGAGATGTAAATGCTGTGCACGCCCAGTGCATTTAATTCCAACAGGGACCTCAGCATCATGATAAATTACCACATGTCACCGTTTCTGGCAGCTGTCCTCTAAAATTTGCTTGGTTTGTATCCAGACGTTCCATATTGCAGATAAATATCTTTGGTTATTTGGGGAGCTTTGTTGTGCATATAATTCATCTGGTGAGTACCACGGAAAATATGTCACTTTTGGAAATAAATTATTAAAAGCCCCAAATCAAACATTTTCAATTCTGCCTTGATTAGAACTAAAGCTAAAACAGAAGTCACACATTTTGTTTTGCTTTGTTAGCAGCAGGAATCGGGAAGAAAACTTCAAGAAGCTATTGATTTGAATGCTTTGGAGAAAGTGAAACACTGAATAGATTCTTAACTTCTGTGGACTGTGTGAAGAAGAAAATGAAACAAATGTTTACAAACCCATGACCATAACACTTAAATCAAACCTTTACATATTCTATATCATGTTGCCCAAAAGTTACATGTCTTCCTAAAAGTATTTTCTAAGAAAGACAAAGGAGCTCTGGTAGCATAGTGCCTAAGGCACTTGACTGCTAACCAGAAGGCTGGCGGTTCAAACCCACCAGCCACTCCTCGGAAGGAAGGTTGGGCAATCCTACTTCCGTAGTGATACTGCCTCGGAAACCCAAGGAGGGGTTGCTATGAGTCGGGGCCGACTCCACGGCAAATAACAACAACAACAACAAGAAAGACAAAGAACTTTCCTGTAATGTTAAAACACTAAATTCTATAGATAAATTCTGATCAAATAGGAGTGGAACTACAGAGCAGAACTTTAAATTCTCATGGAATCCAGACTTTCTGGAGGTATAGAAGCTAGATAAACTCCTGATATTATGGCCCTGAATAATCTTTAAACTTTAAAGCAAAAATACCCCTTGAAGTGCTCCTTAAACCCAACAATATGTTTACCTTAATTGGTAAAGACTGTCTGCCTGACACACTGGACTCTTTCAAGGAACTAAACTATATGGTATCAAGTTGACAACAGCAATGCAACAGGTTACAGAAGACATTTAGGGATTGCTGGATTCATATAAATGGTGGAGGAATAATTCAGAAAAGGAGGGTGAGGAGGGTTGCACAATTCAAAGAATGTAATCAACCTCACCGAATTGTACAGGTAGAAGTGGCTGAACTGGTGTATGCTTTGCTGTGTACACTGTCAACAATGACAACAAAACAAAACGAATTATGGAACATAGTTCTACTCTCACCCACATGGAATGGCCATGAGTCAGAGCAGACTCAACAGCAAGTGGCTTGGATTTTTTGCTTTATTAAGCATGTGTTACTTTTCTTGTTGTAAAAAGAAAA